GTTGAAGAAAATGCATGGAGATCACTTTCCTAAGCCAGAAATTTTAATAATTGTGCCTTGATCTCGTCAAGGTTAATAGTCGGTAGTGTTTAAAGTTGTTGAAGACAATGAAATTCTCATTTCTTAAGTTTTTTTTTTCACTTAAAGAAACGTGTTTTGTTAGGAAAAAAATGGTATGTTGTGGAATTGTATGTATATACACCCTTTAAAATAATTTGGCTATAAATTCAGCGAATTTGGGAAATGAAATTAATAAGTGGAAAAATGGGAGACCCACTTTCAATTATTGAGGGAGGTTTTGACAGCGACGCTGGGGCTTAAGTGGCATCTCCAAAAACAAACCTTCTTTTATTTCCCTCCCTACAATTATTGATTTTCTTTTTTCAAAGATTCAGAAAAAGACCAAGAATTTTTCTCCTTTTACAAATTTTCTTCGGAGGTTGTTAATTGGAATAGAATGCTATATACTTCCTTTATACCGGTCGATTTTTGTAGTAGGAGATTAGGAAAACTAATGAGGTCAAAAGTCTACGTTCCACATTTCAAGGGTCAAGATTGACCTATGCCAAATAAAATTATAGATACTGATGTCACGCTACACTGTTATTTTACCAAGTTGTTAATTTTCAATGTTTCAAACCATGTGTTAGTTTTAAACTAGGTACAATATACTTACCACTAGACTATATAGTATAGTCATATATTGTGTGTTTACAAATATAATTCCTCCCAAATGATCCGAAATATTGAATACATAACATGTTACTCGTCTCTCACGTCTAGACTCCAATTGTTAATCTATTTCTGAAACATACATATTACATGCATATTTGATAAGTCATGAACAACGAATCTTTGATCGAGTGAACACAATATATAGTCCAATACTTAAGTGATTCAATACTAATTAATCAACAATCATTTTGGTCTAACATATGCATCATATGTCTTATGTTCATTATACAAGTATATCTACGTAACCAATGACACACGTCACGACGAATGATTCATGCACCATTTCGATCACAGCAGCCTTGTGAACAGAAATGGTCTAGTCACTTGTCTCGACCACAAAGGCTTTAGGAGCACACACGGTCTAGTAATTTATATAACCAAAAATACAATGCGGCCGGACACTCACTGCTTAGACTCTAATTAATTATCCACAAAGATCCTACAAAGTACATATACGATAATCGCAAACATCTAACCAGATAAATGCAATAATCGAACTCGTGACCAAAAAAACAAAAAAAAATGCAATAATCGAACAACCATGATAGCCCAAAAAATATAACAAGACCAAGAGTAATTACTAAAGGTCTTAAACTTCACTTTAACGTGGAAGGTTTCATCTATATGACTATATGGTACAAACAAAAGTTATATGGTTGTTAGGATAGTAAAATTTGAAATTTATTTCGAGTCCTAAATTCTTTAAGTGCTCGTTATAGTGTAATCATAATAGTTAAAATGTCGATCTGCATGAAAAGCCGATTAAAGAACATTAGCAAAACATTATTTATGTACCGCGAGTTGGTTTTGATCTGGATTTATCATAACCTAAGCAATAAAGTAACTAAATAGGGAACAAAATAAACAAAAATCCAAAAAATAGGAAGATGTTTTAACATGTGCAAAATCCACGATGAATGACATGCGATTCGAATGACGAAAGATTATAGCTTAGTCAAATTCGTTCTTATTGGTTATTAGTATAAACCAAATACCGCTTTAGATTTCAAAATCCAAAACCATGATGTGCAAATAAGTTTATACATTCAAAATAGAATAAAAAGAAGTTGCCGACCTATACAACTTTGGTTGTGTGATTATAAGATTTTTGTGTGAGATCATGTGACATGTCTTCTAAATTAAGGTTATGCTTTTTATATATATATTTAATTCACAAGTTGATGAATACTGATGGCCAGAATGACCTCATCAATCATAACCAACAATCTCTCCAACAAATGTTTAATCATATTAATATATTGAGAAATTTTAAAAAATGTTATTTTTAAAAAATACCATTTTTTAAATACCATTTTTTAAAAATACCATATTTTCAAAGTTTAAGCAAAAATGCAATTTTTTTTAAAAAAAAAAATTTATTATATTATTTATATTTTGGTTAACTATGTTGTATTATGGTTTAGTTTTGAGGGTTTAAGGGATTTTAAGAGTCAAAACATTTTTTAGGGTTTATAATTTTAAGATTTAAGTTTTAAAAATCAATAACTAGTGATATTTTTGCAAATACACATCTCTAAATAGTATTCTTGCAAATGTACATACTAAAAGTGGTATTTTTATGATTGCCCCACTAATATTATTATTTGCAATAAAATAAAAAGAAAAACTCAGTGCCTCTGCACCAAAAGCCTCCCCACTTTTTTAATACATTATTTTCAGTTAATTCGAAATAGTGTATAACATGGAGAATTATTTGCTCGATTATTTGATCATTGTCGTATTGCCCATTCATTTCTTACG